TAAAAAGGCCGTGGATCAATCATTTGGACTGAAAGGCAAGGCTCCTGGTCCTGGAAAGCGCGTACCAATCAGCTCAGGTCCTTCAGGTCCCCTGTTTTTTTGGAAGGAGAAGGGCCGAGAAAGGGGAAACCCACCACACCACATCCCACACTCTTTTGCTTGCTTCACCCACTTCCAATACCAATGTGGCAACATACTGCTCCCACTTATTTAGAGCAACTCCAACTGACGACTCAACAAAAACACTTTGTCCGTTTGGGTCGGCCAGGCACTCCTCCCACTTATTTAGAGCAACTCCAACGGGGCGACTCATACAAAGACACTTTATCCATTTGGGTTGGCCAGACGGACGTACGCGTCCGCATTCTCAAATGGGTCGGCTTAACTGCCCAACAGCAGTCGGACCTGAATGTACCGACGTGAAAAAAAAACAGCTAGTAGAAATGAACATAATTAAACATTTATTAAATATAAGTGACCGGTCAACCGCCGGCCAAAGTCTACTTAAACCTAATTAAACATTAACTAAAACATAAAAAAGTATGCACCCGCACGCTGCCATAAACGTCGTCAGTCTTACCCTTGCCCATGGCGTCGACGTCGTCATCGCCATCGCCGCCGACGAGGTAGATGAAGACGGGAGCATGACCAGCCCACCCGAACACCGTCTGGTACGCTGCCAGGACAGCCTCCTTCGGCGTCTGCTGGGGCGGCAACATTGCGGCTCGCCCGCGCGCTCCTCCTCCCTCTCCTCCTCCTCAAGCCACAACGCATCTGCGTCTGCTCATAGCGCATCTGCCGCTCGACGTCGGCCTCCTCCTGGGCGAGCCAGTGCGCCTTCCAGCACTCAAGGTGGGCGGCCTCCTGCGCCGACGTCGCGGCGTAGTGGATAGAAGGCGCGTCACCCACTCGCGGTACTGGCCGGTCCACGTGTAGGTCTCCTTCGGGGAGTGCTTCCGCGTTGGCTCCGGCTCCGGCTTGGGCTCGACGGGCGGCGACAGTGGCGGAGGCGGGACGAAGAGCGGGGTGTGGACGGAGTACCCCGCCGCCGACAAGGCAAGGGCTTGCTCCAGCCCATCCCAGTGCGCGTCCTCTCGAGTCGGCTAGCCTCCAGCGCGTGCTGCAAGGCCTCCTTGAGGGAGGCTTGGTACTCCGCCTCCGCCTCCATTTCCTCTGACACTACCCGCGGGGGCGGCGGTGGAAACGACGGCGGGACGACGTCGATGCCTGCACGCGTTGCTCCTCGTGTTCGAGGACAAACCAAGCCTCCCAGTTGGGAAAGTCGGCGGCGTACTCGGGCATCCGCTGCTGCTCGGGCGTGAGCTGCGCCCAGCGCCTGCGCCTGCGCACCTCCTCGCTGGGTACGCGGAACCGCCGGCACTGGGACCCGTTGCGGATCCAGGTGCCAGTGGTGCGGCAGCGTGAAGTCGGGGTAGGGCAGGGGCTGCCTGTACTCCCAGTGCCACCGCGCTTGGTGCACCGAGATGTGCAGAAGACGACGGCCTAGGCGGAAACGCGCCGACGCCGGAGGAGGAGGGGAGAGGCGGAACACGGGAGGATGAGGCGCCGGGGGTGTCCTTGCCCTTGCCCTTGCCCCCGCTGCTGCCGAAGAGGCCTATTGTTTGCTAGGGTTTGATGTCGCTGGCGATGAAGCACAAGGGGTGGTGGGGGGCTAGATGTGGACGGAAGTGGATGACGCTGGGCCCCGCCGCACCCATGGTGAAAAAAGAACGCTTTCACTGGCTGATTAGTGGGCCTGCTGTCGGTGGTCGTCATAAATTAGACGACGGGCGGTAGTTGGGTGGCCTACAAGTCAGCCCGCGGCAAATGCCGATGAGACGCGCGGCGCGTCCGCTTCACGTCCACGCCAATGCATTTCAGGCCCAATTTGAGACGGAAAATGGGTCGGCGCAGACGTCAACGGACGAGATTTGGGTTTGGGTCGGCGCGTTGGGCCTCCACTTTTGTCGCGCCGACCCAAACGGACACAGATGGACAAAATAAATCGTCCCATTGGAGTTGCTCTTATATACAAGGATCAAACAAATGCGGTAAAACAAGAGTGTAAAAAGACAACATGTAAAATCAAGAACAAGATCTTAGACCGTAATGCCACTAGTACAAACCCACTTCCATACAACAATGGACAGACGACTGTGGATCAACTAAAGTGGCGTGCAGAATATGGCATGAAATCGCAGCAGCCTGAAGTAGAAGAAAAACAGAACAAATTAACAATATGATGCAGTAAACCCCAGTGAGCAATCAGGAGGACACACGACCTAATCCGAAGTCCATCCCTGAGCCTAGAGGCAGCGGCGCGGCGACCATGCATGTCAGTCAAGCCGGTGCTGGTGCGGCAGCGCTTTCTCGCCATGGGCCATCCATCCCTGCTGAGCGACAACTACCGGGATTAAGACCAGCGTCCCTACCTCCCCACCGTCCAAGTACCCCCATCCAATCACCCCGGTCCACTTAGCCCAAGAAAAAAGAAAATTAATTTAAGATGAGCAGACTGCGGATGGCCCATCGACAGCAACTTATATCCAAGAAAAAAATATAAGGCGGGGACAATGGGGATGACGGCCAGATGCATGAAAGCAGGACTCGGCTCCCCTGACGTACTGCAGGGCGCAGTTGGGTCACTGACAGGTGGGCCAACTTGCTTTCGGGCCCACCTGTCAGTGGCCCAACTGCGCCCTGCAGTACGTCAGAGGAGCCTCGTCCATAAAAGCAGAGCAGCATTCCATTCCATGACTGAAGAAGCAACACCTGCTGCAGGGCTCCCTGCCCTTTCCCCAGCTGTTTGAGATGATTGATAGGGTCTCGCGCGGATTAGGCATCATGTGAGCTGCCAAACACAATCACACTAGTTCGTACGCTCTCCTCTTTTAAGGAGTAGTCTAGAAAGTAGTATTCCTCTTCCTTCCTCGCTCTTGCTTTGCGATCCTTGTTCGATAACTCCTTTCTTAATCAATGAAATGGCAAATCTTTTGCCTTGTTTCAAAAAAAAAAACAGTACAATTTGTTCTGCGTGCCGTAGTACACCGTACACAAGTGCGTGGCCAGCTAGTGTCCAAATCACCGCTTTCTTTGTGCATGCTGTTGCTTTGTGTGGACTCTAGCTGCCTCCTGGGTTTGGAACCTTGTTTGTGTGATGAGGCCGGGTTTACTGTGTATCTGATCTGATGCCAGTATTACTAGTACGTAGTACTACTCCCAGTACTTTATTACCTGCTTGCAGTACTCGCACTAGTATCAATATGTATGACAAGAATAAATAAATGAATGGATGGATGTCGCAGGATGAAGATAAATTAGGCTTGGTGGCAACACTTTTGAGGAGAATGGATCACTCGACATGCACTATGAATGAAGCGTAAAGCCTCTTTTCAGGAGAAAATGGTGCAGGTACTCGGCCGGATATGAGGAAGGGAAGGAACAAATTTAAGTAACTGCTCTACTGCTACTTCCATGAGATGAGATGATCCAACCAACATGGATTTGTATGGTCCGGTCGTTGCGTGAATGATGAGCTTAAGAGGAAGAGGGGCCACCATTTCCTTCTATTTGCTCTCCTGTAAGCCACAGCTAGCTAGATCGTTGCTTGCCGATCGATCATGATCACTTTCCAAAGCAAGCCGCGGTTGCTGCGCTGAGCCAAGGAGAGCCACTTTCAGTCCAAGTAAAAGTAATCCACCGAAATAGGCGGAATTGTGAGACTAGTGTACGGGGGCGGATGTTTTTGTTTCCTCCGTGATACCGTACCCGAATTCCCGCCGGCTCGCTCGCTCGCTCGCCCGCCGCAAGGAGAACGTGTTGCTTTTAGTTGTGGATTGGAAGGCTAAATTTGCTTGGGTTTTTGTTTTCTGTTGGCCTCAACTTTGAGGGCGGGACGAGAACAAACCCTGGCTGGGCTGGCATCAGTTGCTGAATGGGAGCATTTCCGGAAGAAAACCCGACACGCGACGCGCCGGGACGTTACAACTTAAAAGCTTGGATTGTTGCAACAGCTAGCGCACACATACATTGCTTGCTTCAGGCTTCAGCTCACAACAACCAGCACGCCACATTTCTTTTCTCTTTTCTCTTTTCTCTTTTGTATAAAAAATATTAAACAAGTCCATGTCGTAAGCCGAAAGAGCTGACAATATGCTCCGGCGGTAGAGACCCTGCATTGTACTACTGGTGAGATCCATCGATTTTCTAGTTGTACATTCCACCAGTCAGTCAGTTTGGCACAGACTAATAATTAATCGAACACTGGGATGCAACTACTAGTACTACACTAGTCCTAGTGTACTTGGCACCGAAGGAAGGTTCCTGGGCGCACCGAATTTTAAGCGCCTACAAATTCCTACTGGTACTCCTCCTACTGGCTACCATACCAGTAGTGCTGTGCTGGATGGATTAAGAAAAGATTAACGTTCACTAGTCCAACGCATTACACTAGTATAGACTCGGAAGCCCAACAATCATTCATTCATTCCCCGTTTTCTTCAACCAAAATCATTTTGATTCCGTGCCGCATAATATAACCGGACAAACAACTTAAGCATGTACCACTCCCCTCACCTCAACTCACCTCACCTCACGTATATAACCAGCCAACAAGAAAGTAGACGCAGACAGAGCAGGCCAGCAGATTAGCGAA